CCCCCAAAGCCCCAGTAGATAGTTGTATGTCATAGTTGCACATCCTTCTAGTTGCTGTATGTGGGATGCGGCCTCAGCATGGCCAGAGAAGCGGTACGTCAGTGCGCGCCCAGGATCCGAACCCGGGCCGCCAGCAGCGGGGCGCACGCGCTTAACCACTAAGCCACAGGGCTGGCCCTTTAACAGACTTTAAATTCTGCAAAATCCCTTGTACATTTTTGCCTAAAAGAAAGAAAGCCTTGGGAGTCAAACTTGCTGTTAAATTCTGTATCTGCGTTTATTAGTTCTGTGGACATCAGGCATCTATTTGACTTCTCTGAGCCTCAGTTTCCTAATCTGTAAAGGAACAATTCTGTCTTTGTAAGAATATTCGGAGAATTAAAAAAGAGCACGTGAAACTCATCACTTAGTGCTGCTTCCACCACCGTCGCCACCAATGCCAATGTGGGTGCAGGTTGCTGTTCTCCTTTTCTTTTTCCTACTCATCCCTCTCACTGTTAAAAGAGAAAAAAAGAAACCATGAAGAAAAACCATAAAAAGATACAGTCATGTGCCACATAACGTTTCGGTCAATGACAGATGGCATATAGGACGGTGGTCCCATAAGATTAGTACATACAGCCTGGGTGTGGAGTGGGCTATACCATCTAGTTTTGTGTAAGTACACTCTATATGATGTTCATGCAGTGACAAAATTGCCTAACAGTGCATTTCTCAAAATGTGTCCCTGTCTTTAAGTGACGCGTGGCCGTGTCACAATTGAAGTTGACAGTAAGCTGTGATTCAGTTTGAGCAGGATAATCAATGTACTTGAGAAGAGAGAGCAGACTCAGCCTGGCACTTGAGGCCTCTCCTGTTTTCTAGCTTTACTACTGATTGCCCTCTTGGATGCACCCTGACAACGAGGCTACTTAGCATTCCCCAAAGGCCTTGTGCTTCCTATAACACCATCCCTTCCACTCCGTATGTTCTGCTACTCAATTCTACCAGTTCAGATACATACTCCCCTCACCCAGTGAAAACGGTATCCGTCTCCTCGTGCAGCTTGTCTGTCCTGTAGCTTGGGCCTTGATAGACGGGAAACTGTGAGGAGGGAAACTGTGTCCATCATGTCCACCGGAGAATGCCCAGCAAAATATCTGGCAAAGAATAGACAGTCAGATATTTGTTAAATAAAGGAATGAATAATTGACTTTGATCTTTCTTTTGCCTTATGTTATGTGTCTGGGTAAGTCGTCTTACCAAGTACACTGTACGCCTCTTGAAGACAGGCTTATGCCATTTCTCACTAATAATAATGACAGTAAACTGTGGTGGTGGAGGTGGTGAGAGGCAAACAGATTTATTATATAAGAGCATATAATCATAGAAACCATAATTAACATTTGTTGACCATTTATTATGTTCCAGGAACTGTTTTAAAAAAAGTCCCTGATGTGGGTTATCTCATATAGTCCTCAGCAACCCTGTGAGTTGGGTACTATTATTATATGTGTGGGGAAACTGAGGCACACAGGTTTAGGGGCTTGCTCAGGATCACACAGGCTAGGAGGTGGTAGAGCTGGGATTCCAATGCAGACGTTCTAAGTCTAGCAGCCCAGCTCTGACCCTGCCACAGTGCTTTCAACCTGTTTGTTGAATACAGTCATTTATAGGTTCTTGAACAATTTAGGAAAAGTTATTTAAGTACACATGCAACTTCCCATTTTCCTTCTCAACCATCCCGTTTTAGTAACTTCTATTCTTTTCTTTCCAATTTATCTCAGGCTTCATGTTCTCTGGGAGGCTCTCTCAGACCATTCTGCCTGGCCTGTAGTAGGTGTTCAACAAAAAGTAAATTTTACTTTTTTTTCCCCTCCAGGTTGACAATAAAGGTGCTAAGAAAGAGAATGTAAGACAGGAAAATAATTAAATATTTTTACGGAGGTAAGTTTTTTTATGATTACATTTTTTAAAAAAGAAGTTTCTATTCTTTTTTTAATTGCTCTCCACAGCCTGCTTTCTTAAGATGTAAAAGGGAGGTTGCTTTAGGAGTGTTTAAGTTCAAGGTGGATGCCAGGAACGTGGGCTGTTTGAATAATGTCTTGGCTTTGCTTGCCTCTTTGAATCTAATCTTTAAATTCCCATTATCTCATTGTTTTAAAGCATGGTCCTGAGAAGGAGATCCAGCAGGTAGAAACCCATAAGCTCTTTGGTGGCTATATATACTTGCAGCATTCAGTGAAAACTTTGTTTTTAAATAGGGAGTTGAAGGGGTTTGAGGTCACTTTTAGTGAGATAGCAACACTTTCTTAAATGAAAATGTGTTGTATTTTCTTATTATAATAATGAGAAAGAACTTCCATCAACGGAAAACAACATAATGACAAAAGTAAACACTCAACTCCTGCCACCCAGAAGTGACTGCCTGCCATTAGTATTTTGATGAACATACTTCTAGGAATTTATCTGTGGATATAGAAGTATTTATATACAGATCTTTAAATTGGTTTACAGGTTGTGTTCTTTGTTTTTAGGTCTATTGCCCTGATTAACTCATTATAAATATTTTTAAATTATTGCAACCAATTGTTTTGGATACTGAAAGTTTTCTTCTGGAGAACAATACCTTTGTTTTTTATTCACTTATAGTGGAGCTTAAAGAGACTTTAAAAACTAATCTTTTAACATCTTTCAACATGGATCAGTTTGCAGAATAGAATACCGAATATGATTTACAAACTTGGGTGATAATGGAATATTACTGAGTTATGTGAATTACGTGAATATGCATTCACATGTAAACCTATGAATATGGACATTGAATCTCTTTTGTCCAGAGGATTTTGCCAGTTTCTGATATGAATGTGAGCTCTAACTTTATGTTTGTTTTAGATTTTATTTCAGTCAAATAATAGTTACTTAAGGAAGGTCTCACATTAAACAGACACCAACTTTGTCATTGACCTACTGTTTGTTCTTTGACTAATAAAAAAGCCAATTAAAATTTATCTCTTTTTCGTAGACTTATAAAATGCATCTTCTTATAATATAGATTGCCTTTCATGTGGGTGCTTTTCTTTTCACTCCAAGTTAACATTGTTGACCAAAATACTATGGAGGCTGGAACCAAGTGTGTTTTCTTTACCGGCTTACATCCAGCAACTAATTTGATACCTGGCAGGCACTCAGATTGTTTTTGAAGGGATTAATGATTGGTGTGTATTGTCCTTGTTAAGTTAGAATTAAGATGTAAATGAGAAGTGCCTTAAATTTTAATTAAGAAATTTAATTTCTTGGAGTAGAAAACTAGCATCTGTGATTTTTAAATGTACCTAAATCTAGACATACATAATTATAGTAACACTTACTACCATAACGTTTTGTGACATTTTGTTTGGACTGTTTATTTGGACTATATCCCGTTTATTTTCAGAATCACTTACGCTACTGTGTTTTAAGTCTGTTTTTTTTGTTGTAGTTAAGGGCAAAGTAAGTATCTAAACTAGGGAAGATACTAGATATTATTAAGGAATCCTATTTATGTTTCATATTATAGACATGGGAATATTTTTCAGATATATTATTTGAAGACAAGGATAAAGTGAATGCCCCAAATATCTTTTTAATTATAATGGAGAGAAATTGAGTTATATATTAATTGCGTGGTTCAGCATTTATTGAAAATAAAAGTAGAAAAATAGATTGCCAGCTATCGAGAAGAATGTATAAATCTAAAAGGGTTCCTAGACCCAATTCCAACGAATGTGTGTTGGGGGGGTGCTTCCCACACAACACCAAGCCATTCTCGGACACCAGCAGGGTGTCCAGGAATTCAACTCAATTCTCACACTACCTACCCGGAGATAGCGTCCGATGTCACAGGTTAAGAGTTCAGTCTACAAGTCAGCCCCCTCTTCCGCCCCCTTCGGGTGCCAGCTGCAAGCCCAGGTTGTTACCTGTGCTTCTAACCGACTAGCTACCGACTGGAGATTCCAACGACTCCCTCCTTGGACTTCATATTCCACTTGCAGTCCAGGTTGTCAACTGTACTTCTGACCGACTGGCTATAAATCAGACGTTCCCTTGACCCCCTCCTCAGGTCTGATTAATTTGCTAGAATGGCTCTCAGAGCTCAGGAAACATTTTACTTACTATTACTCACTGGTTTAATGTAAAAGGATGTAACTCAGGAACAGCCAGATAGAAGAGATGCATAGGGTGAGGTATGGGGAAAGGGTGCGGAGCTTCTATGTCCTCTCTGAGTGGAACACGAGTGGAACAGGCTCCTCATATCTCCACGTGTTTACCAACTTGGAAGCTCTCCGCACCCAGTCCTTTTGAGTTTTTATGGAGGCTTCCTTACATGGGCATGATTGATTAACTCATTGGCGATTCACTCAACCTCCAGCCCTGCTCCCTTCTCTGGAGGTTGGGGCATGGGCTTAAAAGTTCCCACCTTCTAATCACATGGTTGGCTCCTCTGGCAACCAGCCCACATCCTGGGGTGTTTTCCAAAAGTCACCTCATTAACATAATAAAAGACACTTTTATCACTCTCAACACTTAATGAAATTCCAAGGGTTTCAGGAACTCTGTGCCAGAAACTGGATGAAGACCAAATACATACGAGAAATAAGTTATGGTCATCTGAATGACCAATTTTATATTTCTTATAAATCATAATCCAGTATCCTGCCTACTAAGTTTTCTGACTCCTAAACCAGTTTTTCACAGCCAAAATAACCAGAGAGGATGGAACAATTATCGAATAGATTTAGGTAGTGTTTCAGACTCTTGTTTCATACAGTTTGTTTCCACTGGAATATGGGATTCTAAAGAATGCATGAGGGGCCGGCCCGGTGGCGCAAGCGGTTAAGTGCGCGCGCTCCGCTGCGGCGGCCCGGGGTTCGCTGGTTCGGATCCCGGGCACGCACCGACGCACTGCTTGGCAACCCATGCTGTGGTGGCGTCCCATATAAAGTGGAGGAAGATGGGCACAGATGTTAGCCCAGGGCCGTCTTCCTCAGCAAAAAAAAGAGGAGGATTGGCGGATGTTAGCACAGGGCTGATCGCCTCACAAAAAAGAAAAAAGGGCCGGCCCTGTGGCTTAGCGGTTAAGTGCGCGCGCTCCGCTGCTGGCGGCCTGGGTTCGGATCCCGGGCGCGCACCGTCGCGCCGCTTCTCCGGCCGTGCTGGGGCCGTGTCCCACATACAGCAGCTGGAAGGATGTGCAACTATGACGTACAACAATCTACTGGGGCTTTGGGGGGAAAAAAATAAATAAATAAAATCTTTAAAAAAAAAAATGCATGAGCTAGTTTTAATTAGTATTTTAGCAGCAGTTATTTGCATGTAAAAATTTTAACTTGATTAAATTAATCGTCTCCTAGCAATTGTTATTTGTACTTTAATTGCTTAGCAACCCTTTTCTTAATAAATAGTCCAAAGTTAAATCTAGGCAGACTTGAAATTATTGAATCTTCATTAGTAGAATGTAAATTCTACTACTAGAGAGATTTCCTGGACTTTTCCCTCTGACATCTTATTGTGGCTAATGGTATAATCTTGTATTTGTTTTCTAAAATAACCAAAGTTCTGGGCTCTTGAATCTCTCTTCTGCAGTAGTATAGGAATTTGCTTAATGTGGTAGCTTTCATTTCACTGATGAGTTAATTTTGTTAATCGCATGCTTTAAAGCCCTAATTCCAAAAATACGCCTGGAAAGTGAGGAATTACTGGTAGTAGTTAAACTGAAGTCCTAATTAAAATTAATATTTTATCATTTATTTCTCCTCTTAGCTGCATTTGTAAAAATTTTTATACTGTATTTAAACAGATTTTAAGATATTCTTATGTATTTAATGAGTTGGATTTTGTGCATTTGTAACAGTTTCTTCCTATTTTAGGCATGACCCTTAAAGTTTAGATTGGCAGTGTAAGTGGTTATTTGATTGGAAAGTTGGAAAGAGGAGAAGTTCTGTCTTTATATACAGAATTTGTGGTGGTAGAATATTTAGATGAAACTTTTATGATCAGGGTGAGAGTACTGAACTGCCAGTAGGAGGGAAAAAAAATTTTTTAAGTGCTTATATGCAGTATAGAAAATAGATCCCTAGTAAAGCCAACACTCGAGGCTTACTTCTATGGTATCTGTTAACTGAGTTGGTCTCTCCCAGAGGTATTAGTAACTCAGTGTCTTAAGGGTAGAGTTTTGGAAAGAGCGCTGGATAACAAGCTTTAGGTCACAAGTTCCATAATGATCACAGTGCTTAGTGAAACTCCCCAGGAAAAGCTCCAGCCTCTGCATGTCCCATCTCTTTTGAGAAATCTCCTTCCTTCCTAACCCTGGAAGCTTTGCCTAGTGTTGTGACATGATGGAAATTTGTCTGGAGCTGGGCAGAGGGACTCTGCCTATTACTACAGAGTCTAGATGCTCTCATTAAGTAGACTTACGACATGGGGGTATGGCTGAACAACATCATTTGCCCCGTACCATAGTGGTGTAATGACAAATACGGGAATTCCATGCGAGCTTTTCCTTTGTGCCAGTTCTCTTCAGAGAGGACATCTGTTTCATGGTGAGAGTTGTGTTTGTGTACATTAAACCCGGTAAGTTTTGTTTTAAATAGATTTCAGTGTATTCTAATGTCACAAAGTTTTTCAGTCTGAATGTTCTAGCAGCCATCACTCAAATATGGATTGCTGTCAGTGGGAAAGGATATCCTCCTACATCTTTTCTGGAGTACTTGAAACCATCCCACTTCCTCTTTCTTTTACCTTAAGAACTGATTACTGACACTTGGGAATTATAATCAGATTGCATCAATCTTTACGGAAAGGTTACCAATTATTGCACTGAAAAATATGCATTTCTCCCTAATAGTAAGTGATTCTCTAGGTGTGTCTTTCAGTTCGGTGCTTTTAAATACCTCTGAGGTGAATGA